TACCAAGACAACCCATAGAGAAGTGTGCCAAAATGAAGAATTTGTAGAAACACAAGTTCCAAAACTAAAAGTTTATTTTAAAAAATACTAAAATCATTTATGAAAGAAAGTACACACATCTGAAATGGGGAAGGACAGAAATTAACTGACCAGACTGTTTCACACTCAACCTCACAAACCAGAATCTGTAGTGAAGTAGCAGCCTCACACAGAAGCGTTATCAGGGACCCTGTCCCACAGCACACTATTTCACATGCGCTCCCCTTTACTAGCCATAACTTCCACGTGCACCCCCTTCTCTCCCACTTTTGGTCCAGGAAATCAGGTCTTAGCTCAACTTCCAACTGCTCAACCCCTCTCAATCCATCCAGAGCTTCAGGAACCCACTTTGGCCTTCAGTCCACTTCCCCGCCTACCCTAACTTGTGGTCTGGCCTTTGCTGATTTGTTCGTTCTTTGGGCATTCTTGGCCTGGCATTCCCAGGCCAAAATGACACCTAGTGCCTTTCTTATTCTCGGCTATTAAATGGTGGCTATTCCCAACACATGTAGTTGCTGTGAGGAACAAGCAAAGTAAGATGTTACAGGGGCCAAGGGCAGGCAGCCCCAAAATGGGCCACTTTGACATGAAGATTATTTTGAATTAAAAGCAATCAAAATGCAGCAGACTCAGAAAAAGCCTTTATCTCCCCGAGCTGCATAAAAAGAATTTAGATAGAGGACTTGCTCCAGGTAGAGAGCTATCACCATAGATAACTATATTATACTATGAACTAGGTCTGATAGGGAGGAACCTAGCTACGCCTGTTTGATCAAAGTCCTCCATGTCCCATTGTTTCTCAGTGGCCCAGCAAACATTTTATCGAACATTTACTCTTTTTCATCTTTCTGTGAAATTGCATTCCTTCCCTCCGAAATCCCAGATCCCTACCCACTCTCTCCTTATATACCATATATACCCCCTTCTCCTTGTGTACCATATATACCTCATGTTGCCTGTCTTTGGAATTTCCATGTCTATTTTGATTCCTTGCACATATAAAATTAAATTTCATTTTCTCCTGTTAATCTGTCTTATGTCAACTTCGATAATGTGAAAGTACTCGGTGAACTCTCAATCACTCTACCAGCATCAACTACTATGACCAATACTGCTACTGAGTTAAGAACTATGCTAATTTGGTGCATAACAAATCTGTGTTATTTTAGTTCAACTGAATCTTCACTGAGCGATATGCCTCTTGGTCATTTCATATCACACTCCCTAAAATAACACTCCAAACAGGTCCCAGTCAGACATGACTGCTAGTTCCAGCTCTGCTGCTTGCTCTAGGTCCTTCTGGACAGTAACAACCACACTCTAGACCAAGTTCATTATTTTTAAATATATATATAAAGATTGGGTTGAACTAAATTGTTTCTAAGGTCCCTTGAAGCCCTGTGGTTCTCAGACTCTAGTGAGACAAGTAAAAGAATCACACACTTTGATCTCCCCTCTTCTGCTTTTCAAAATGTTTCTATATCCACCTTCCATTCCTTCTTTCCTTCCCTTGGATACCCTCATCTTTTATACTCTCCACACCATGTCTGTTTCCTTTTTTCTAGGCCTGCCCATCCTCGTCAGCATCTCACTCGACTTCTTTCAAATACCTATCTCCCCTCTCGTGAAAAAGGAAATTTTCACTTGAACATCCTCTCTAGCTATCATGTACTCCCCTTCACTGCCACTTCCTGACAATAACCACCAGCACTTCACCTCTCACATTCTTCAACCTAAAACCTGGCTTTTACTAGGATCTTTTGCCAAACTCAGTGTTCTATGCCTATTCCTTTAGCTCGCAGGACCTTGTTATCTTGGTTCCGTCCCTACGTCTACAACTCTGCTCTATACATGGGCGCCTCTCAAGGTTCTGTCTTCAGTTTTCTCCCCTCTCTATTCTAATCAAAGGCTGACATTTCCAGACCTTTCATTTCAGTTTCCATCACCACCTTGAATCACCTCTCATTTTAGAGAACGACAAACCCTGCCCAACCCAGTTCGCTTATGCTCACTCTCAACCTGCAAAACTCCAAAATTTTTGCTTCTTCCCTTAAAATCTCTTAAGTTATGGATCAAAGTATGTCTGTCAGCAGACTCTTCCTGTATTACTCTTACTCTGATCACCCTAGTCTAGGTCCCACAACCATTATCTAAAATATACATTTTCTCTCCATCCTTATTTCCCTGCCTCTATCAGACCTCCTATAAGCCCTCATCATTTCATATCTATCATGCTTGCAATACACTCCTATCTGGTTTCTTTGCAGCAGGTATCTCCCACTTCCAACACTTTCTCCAGACCGCTGCTAGAGTGATAGGCTAATGCCTCTGCAAAAACATTCAAGTGGCTTCCCAGGGTCCATAAAATAAAGCCTAACCTTCTTCACAAGACTTTCAGTCTCCCAACCTCAGCTCTCAAACATACACAGTTTATGCTCAAGGATTATCAAACTAATTTCAGTTCCCTGTGCCTAGAATGCTGACTCAAGAAACAGTTCCTCATGCCCTTTGCTTGGAGTGCCCTGTCCCAACTCTTGCACACCCGATGAGTCCCCAGGCATCTTTTCATTCCAAGCTCAACCCTCAACTCCTCTTTAAAGCTTTTCCTCTTGTCTCCAATGAAGAGTCCAACTATGCCCTCTATGCCAACAATGAGCCTTGTGCAGACTTCTAATAAATCTAATTCATATGTCTCCTGGGAGGTTCCTTGAGGGACTGGTCTTGTCATCTTTCAAGTATTACTCCAGCATTTAACAACTGGAAACACTCCCCTGCAAGTAAGACAGACTTTTTGACTCGCTAATTCTCCAGAGCACAGAGCCTTTCCCAGCATGTCTCCAGGTCTGAACAATGAGAATGTCATGTTAACAACACTATTATAAAAAGACTACAAAATGACACAGGAGCGTACAATAGCAGAATATATAATACACCTCCTCCACTTCATTAATTCCCCAAGAGTTCTGCCTTTACTTCGACCTGAACAGAGAAGGCACTTAAATAGTTTAAATGGACCAAATATTAACCAGCCTCTGATGTGCAAACTGATTTTAAAACAGCCCTTGACCTGGAAATACAGGTGCATTCAAATATACACCCTGATAAGAAAGGACAGATAGGGGATAGAGTTCAATGTCTCAGAGCTTGCCCAGTCAAGAGTTCCTTGTGATAAACTAAAAGTGCAGCAATATTTTAGACAGTTTGAAAATGCTCATCATTGTCTAAGGAATCTTAACAGACTGGGTTACATATGGCAATATCTACTCTCAGAAAACAAAATCCAGCTGGGTACATATTAATGAAAACCAATAGTGCAGTATTTATAAATAAATAAATATGCAGTGAGGTAATCCAGTCACAGATAGCTAGAGACAACAGTTCTAATGAGTTAAATCAAACCACTGTAGTTTCCATTTTAAATATGTTAGGGTGTTAAGAAACTAAGTTCATTCAAAAGTTATTTTATGCATGACTTCCTGAACATGTTTTCTCTTATTAAAAGCTTGTTAGCTTCTGCTGGTTAAGGAAGTCAACATGGGGAAGCTGGTATTTCCTTGATTCTAAACTATACAAGTGCTAAAACAAAACAATCCCAACCTAATTAATTCTATTTTTGGTCTAGTTTCCAAGGCAGTATTCACAAAGACTATTCTCAGCCCTCTGGTTCTAGCTTTGTAACACCAACCTTCAGTAACTGGAAACTGTTATATTTTGTGTAATTCCTTGACACATATGTTCTGTCACAGATTCTCATTTTATTCCTCCTGCTATCAAGGGTAGAAAATAAAAGGATCTGTCATCCCACTGATTCTAAAGTTTCATTCCTAAAATCACCGTTAAATTTATTATTTCATGATATCCTGTGAGGTTCCTACCAGAGCTTTGAAACTTGGGTTACATCAGGTTCACCAACATCAGGTTGCAGGTGGAACCCTCCCCAAATCACAACTGCCAAGTTGAGTCTCAGCAACAGTACAAACCAGAAGAAAGGGTATCAGGAAACGTTCTACTTCCAAAAGGCCATTGACTTGACCTTGGGTGATCCACTTCACTTCTGTAATTCAAACCGCAATACCTACTTCTAAAAAATAATGCTTCTAGGAATAGTTTAAGAGCTTCTAAAACGACAATGGAATTGTATAAGCAAATTTTATTAAACAATCTATTCTCTGGCCCAATTTCCTAAACCACCTAGCTTAAAAGGTCATAAAAGTCTTTGTTTTCCCAAAATCCCTATTTCGACCACTATATTATGGAATAAGCCGAACTTTGACTCTTTTTCTACCTTTAAATTAAAATGCGAGTTAAAAGTCCTCATGAATTACCACGTCAGGTCAAATGAAATCCACCATAGACGGAAAAAATGCATTGTCTTGGACTCAAAAGAAGCCGGAGGGTTACAACTGTGTCACGTGTATTATACTCTCAACACCACCCACCCCCGACCCTCAAATCTATCGTATGGGGAAAGGGCAGAGAAAACGAAAATAGTGCTGATGGGGGATGGAGCGCAACAAGCCAAGCTTCCAGCGTCAGGATCCAATGACACGTTAGAAACCAAGGTGCATGTCTTAACTTTCGTCCTTCCTAACTTTGTTCCTCTAGGGAGAAGAGGTGTTAGGTGGCAGCTCCTAGGCTGGCAGGTTCCATCCTGATTCTAGTGTCGGTCAAATGACATGGAGAGGAACCGGAATGGGAAGAAACTATATTGTAATCAAGTTGAATCATCCAGCTATGCTGGGCAGCGGTCGTGGTCATCCTGGGAAACGCACCGTCTCTGGTGCCCGGGTTCTCAAGCCCACTTGAGGAAGGAGAAAATAATGCCAGGCGGGAGAAAGGCGGAGCGGGCAGCCTGCAGCTTCACCAGACATTCCTTGGGCCCCACCCTTGCTCCCAAGCGTCCCGGCCCAAACCAGGACCTAGCCGGGGCGCAGGTGTGCGCCTCTCGCGGCTCCACTTACTTTGTCACTGGTGCTCTCGGTTTCGTGGTCGCCGCCGGCCGCCTCTCCCTCGCGGGGTGGCGGCGCCACCGCTCCCCCGGGGCCAGGGCAGCCTCCCCGGTGCCTCAGCTCCAACATCTCCCGCTCCCGCGCGGCCGTGGCGGCCTCCTCCAGCGCCCCGAAACCCGAGCTGCGCGCGGGGTTTCACTGGCTGGCTGCCCTGCCACCCCGCAGCCGCGCACTCGACGTCCGGCAGAGCCGCGGCCACTAACACGCCCCCACCATGGAGGCGCCGCCGCCGCGCCCGGTCACCCCCAAAACGGCATCAACGAGCGAGCGCTCGAGGCCGCCTCCGGCGAGCGCGGCGCCGGCGGAGGGGCGAGGGACGAGCGCCAGGGGCCGGGGTCGGCTCGGGGTGCGGGGCAGGCTCGGGGCACCCGGTCGGAGCGGAGAAGGCGGGGACGCGGCGGAGCACGGCCGCCGGTTGCCAGGTGAGCGTCTCCACGCAGAGGCCCAGGTGGGAGGAGAAGAAGGGGCGGGGAGGGAAGGAGGAAGCGTGACCCGCTTTAGCGCTTCACCCGGCGCCAGCCGCCTCAGCCGCGGCACTCCCGGCCCCGCCCCCGGACTCCGGAGTCGGCTGGTCCCGGCCCCCCTACACCTTTCTCTGGGCTCCTGCCTCCCGCAGCCAGGTCACGCGCCGCAGGCCCCGCCCCGGCCCGCCCCTCTGCGCTGCACTGCGGTTCCCACAGCCCCGCCTCCCTCGCGGAGGAGTGACGTCACGAGCCCCCCCGCTACTCCACCCCCGTCTCTGCACGCACACAGGTGGGGGCCTTGAGGAAAGGTGGGAGCGGCGCGGGCTGGAGAAAAGGGGAGGAGCGGGGCCTTGGAGGAGGGCCGAGCACGGTGCTTAGCAGTGAAGTGGAGAACTTGTAGACTCGTCCCCGCGCAACCGATTGGGCTGGAAGAACTGCCCGAAGACGCCTGGTAAATACTGACAGCACTATGCACGACCCCCTTCAAACGACTCCACGGCCGCATCAGCTTGGTACACCGCGGCGTGTCGGAGCTTCACAGGCGTCCAGAAGCAGAAACTTGTCTGGCAGGACGGACTCGTTGACTTGGCGGCGTTGTAGCTCAGTGTCATCACCTTGAAAATAGATGCCGAGAGATGCATTTACCCCACCGGGTGTCCTGAGATGGACTGGCCAGTTTCAGTCACAAACCCAAACTCCGTCTCCTAGAAACTCCAGTATTGGAGCTCACAAAATTCGCTGCCTAGGGTCCAAAGAAAGAACCCAGACCTAAAATGCTGCGGGGTGCATTTGCCAACCAGCTAATCTTTAAGCAGTCGTGGACCTTGGGATGCTAAAGTTGGAACAGGAAGGGCACAAGATCCGCATTAATTCCATTCCAAATCCTGTTAGAAGGTGATTAGTTTTCTTGACATGTATCCACCACCTGGTGATGACTGATAGGATGACAAATGGGGGCGGGGCGTGAGGGGAGACAGGCCATCACACAAACGGAACAACGTTCAGGAAGACACCCCTAAGAAATAAATCAACAATATAAATTTCTCAAGGTCATTACTAGCACGTTGAAAGTAAGTAAGGTCATTACTAACACGTTGTCCTGAAAATTTAATAACAAGCAAAACCAAAAAGTCAAAGTAGGATGCATTAAAAACCAGAGCACAGGGACATCATTTTATTTCACCAAAATATATCTTTAAAGTTCTCAGTTCAGGGGGCACCTGAGTGGCTCAATTGGTTAAGCGTCTGCCTTCGGCTCAGGTCATGATCCCAGGGTCCTGGGATCGAGTCCCGCATCAGGCTCCCTGCTCAGCAAGGAGTCTGCTTCTCCCTCTACCCCTCACCCCACTCCTGTTCTCTCTCTCTCTCTCAAATAAATAAATAAATAAATAAATAAAATCTTTAAAAAAAAAATAAAGTTCTCAGTTCAGATTGGGTCATCATATTTTCAAAAGGATATGGAGAAATCAGATTCATGGGAAGAGTAACAAAAATGATAAAAGATATGAAAAAAGTCCTTTGAGTGATGGTCACGGTGTGGTTTTCTTTAAGGAACAGAACACTATGGGGTGACTAGGTTAATCAATTGTCCTCCATTTCTTTGGAGGACCAGACATGAAGGACTGCCTGCTTGTCAAGAACATAAGGTTGAAGAGGCTGCCGAAGGCAGTAGTGAAGTTTCCATCTCTGGCTCCTTCACCCAACTCAGCAAAAGGGGGCATTAGAAGTGTTCCGCTGGTCCATTCTAGCCTTAGTGGACGTTCGGAAGTCTGAGTTCTAGTGTCACTGATGCCACTCATTGGCTTGAATTAGTCGTTAAGGCTCAGTGTCCCCAGCCATACGGTGGATACTAGGGAGGATAGCCTCTGTGGTCCCTTCCAGCTCACACATGACTCTGCAACTAAAGTCTCCCTTTTTCAGATCCCAGTCCGTCCTTTCCCGCATGCCTCAAGATAGGGATACCTAGCATAGCAAGGTACCTGAAAGGTTTCCTCCTTCCCCTTTCCCTATTCAACCTGATAGCTCCTTGGACTTTCTTCTTTTGCTGCAGGAGCAAAAGAGAGTGAGAGAAGTAGGAGGAAGAACAACAGAGGACAAAAGTGCATGACCTAGGAAAAGTGGGACCAATGCGGAGACTGCCAAAATAGACTGGTTTACTATGTTACCTCACCCTTCCTTAAGCTCTGCCTACTTCCTGGATTTCAGCTGAGATAGTAATTTCTTGGTCTTCTTAGTTATAGTTATTGCCACTCGTCGAGTGATCTGAGTCCAGACAGCAAGAACCATAGTTTATACATCTTCACAGGCCAAGCCCTTGCCACAGTGCTGGCCCCCACCCCCATATAGTTAATACATTTGTTGAAGAAGTGAATGAAGAAATGAATGAGTGGCAGAGGTATAGCATAACCAGGGAAAGACATGTGGTATTTGTGGTTTTGTAATGAGAAGGTCTATTTTAGACTTAGATAGGTACTCACTTGTCATTTTTCACTTTATATGAAAAGAGAAAGATTGATCCTAATATGTCTTAAAGGGGGTTCTAGTAATGACTTGCACATTTTACTTAAGATATATTATGATTTAATCAACCACAAATGGCCTTCCTGAGCTCTATGTTCTCAGACTTTCTTGGTGTCTTTTTTTTTTTCATATTTTTGGACACACGATGTTACATTAGTTTCAGGTGTGCTTTTTCATGTTATCTTTCTTTTTTCTTCATTCAAGGAGCTTACCGCGTTTGGTGACACAAAATCTGGCATGGAATGGTTTCTGAGTCCTCACCTGTTAGTTTTATGAGAGTTTAATCTGCTAAAGGGCATCATATAAACCCCAAGCTCATGCATGGACTAATCACATAGGAGACACTTTGCCAATACTTCTTGGTTGGTTTATGGATTTTCAACTTTAGTGATATTGGAATGATTTATAACCCTTAGCAAGGGATTTGCTAGAGGGGAAAGAGGGAGAATACTAACATTATTATTTATATGGTTTTCATTTTAGTTTGATTTTACCCAAAGATGGACAGACCTTGCCTGGAGTGGTAAATGGATGAAATGGAGAGACCTGTTACCACTGTCCTCCCTGAGAATCCTCAGAATGTTCCCAGACTGATAAACATTCTCCTCTTGTGTGGGAATTTGAGCAGCTTTCCACATCAGAGCCTCCAAGGCGCCTGACTGGAATGTCCCCAGCTTGCCAGGGGAGGAAGAAATCTTCCTCAGCCGAGCATCATTTCCGGTTGCTTGGACACCCGTGTTATAGCGTTCCTCACTCGACCTGTATTTCTCTGTTGCCCTCTGTCAGTTTGTAAGTTGGAGGTAGGAATTTCTGACACAGGCCCACCAGAGAAACATTCTGTGGGAAATTCTTGAAAGGCAATTTATGTTTACATTCTTATTTTTAATGAAATGACATGGGAAATCAACGGTGTACCACCAAGTATTACAGTGACTGAGCATCAGAAGAGCAAGTGCAGAGGTGTAGTTAGATTAGTTAGAAGCACAGGTTTTGGGCGGCCATGGGTTCTAGTCATAGCTCTTTCATCTTCTAGCTGTCACCCAATTTATGGTGTGGAGCCATATGCTAACTGACATGACCATTTGAAGTTTAAGTAATAACTCTTCATGGAACACTTCACAGAGCCCTTTACATACATTATTTGTTCTACTTAACAACCAGTGAGGTAGGCAGGACAATTATTATTATTCCCACTTTACAAGGAAAAAAACACCTGAGGTTCAGTATGTAAACTGCCCAGGTTTGGCATTGAAACATAGGTTTTTATACTTCAAATTCTGCCAGGTCCACTCTGTACTGCATGCAAATAGGTAGTAGCAGAAACAAATAACTTCTAAAAGGGACAACTTATTATAACAACTAAGCACAAGACGGCTGGAGCCAACCTGAGTTCAAATCCCAGATCTGCCCCCTACTGGTCTGTGCCATCAGTCAAGTCACTTAATGCCCTTGTGCCTCAGTGTCCTCGTGCATAAAATGAGAATAAGGGTAATAATATTTTCCTCCCAGAATCCTTAGGAAGATGACATTGGTTAATATATGTAAAATACTTAGAACTGTACCTGCTCATAGTGAAGGACTACATGAGTGTTATCTGTGATCATCATTTATATTATTAAAAGCTGCATTTCTCAAGAACAATATTCAACTTCTAAACTCACTGAAGCTTCAACTCCCCCAGAATAATTTGAAGCAGACAGGATATGCCGACATTGCATTGGTGAGGTGGGTAGAAATTATAAAATGGGGTAGGGCAACTTTGCAAATAAATACAAAGAAATCATCAGTTTATCAAATTAAGTAATTTTTGCTTTATCCTCCAGTGGTAGTAAGACTAATGAAATTGGCAGTCCCTATCATTAACTGGAATCGATTCCTGCCAAGTAGCCTGTATATGGTGTGGTAACTGTAGAGTTCCCTCTCTTTCTAGCTTCTCCACTGATCAGAGTAACTCTCAGCAAATTATGTTTTGGTGATTTAATTCTCTTGTCAAATAGGCTAGTAGTTCTCTGGCGAATAATTTTGTTCAGTATGTTCCCTCTGGAACTTGTTAAGTTGTGTACTAAAAGAATAGATATATGTGTCTTTTCGATACCACTTGGTTCAACTATTCTGTTAATGTTGAATCTGGCTGGATTGGTATCTTTTTTGGAGGTGGTCATGTAGAGAAGTGGAAGAGATTGGTTAACTGCCCTTAGAGGGGCTGCATTACTGATTTGTTTCAAATTATATCAATGATCTCTGTCAACAAATTGCTGAAATCCAGAGGTATCAGTCAAGGTTCTTCGTTGCAAGTCTGGCTGACGTAGGCAGACAAGGAATTTACTGAAGGGATGAGAAGCTCACAGAACTGTTGGGAAAGCTGAAGAACCCACATAGGAACCTGGCAGAAACAAAAGATGCTAAGCAGCAGCCAGGACTAGAGTCCAAGCCATACCCGAAACCAGCCAACCGGGATCCCCACTGGGACAGCCCACCACAGCTTGCACCATCTCTGGGGGGTGGGGGGCAGCAGTCACTGGGGGTCATAGTTGCCATGGCTGGCTCTTTCTCACTTATGTTTTTCTTCACCAACTCTTATTTACTTATACTTTGATGATGGGGATCGTTTCCTTATAAGATGCAATAATAATGAACAAAGAAACCAAGGGACAAACAAAAAACCAGACCCTTAAATAGAGAGAACAAACTGGTGGTTGCCAGGGGGGAGCTGGGTGGGGCAATGGGTGAACTAGGCAAAGGGGATTAAGAGGTACAAAATTCCTGGTGTAAAATGAGTAAGATATGGAGATGAAAAGTACAGCATAGGGAATATTGTCAATAAGATTGTAATAATGTTGTTTGGTGACAGATGGTAACTACACTCATTGTGCTGAGCACTGAGTAATGTATAGAAGTCTTGAGTCATTATGTTACACACCTGAAACCAATATAATACTGTATGTTAATTATCCTTCAATAGAAAAAAGGAAAAGAATAATCTGAAAAGATGCAATGATAGCTGTAAGATCTCTTTGTAAAAAAATCCTTACTGATCGGAGAAAT